AGTATATAATGATCTATTTATTTACTTAGTGTAAAATGAAGGCATCCAAATCAATTTGTTTGGTGGATTAGTTGTGATTTAACTTTGAAGCATTTATGTGTTCAAATATTTGTTGCTACATATTCCTAAAGGCTATTGGGATGTAGAAACTGGCCTGGGAGAGGATACTGAAGGATGAACAACACTCACTAGTTTCTGCCGTTGTGTTCAAGTGTTTACACAGGAAACCAAGAGATAAGAAGGTACTACAGACGGTGAAAACTAATCTGAAGGGGGGAAAATGAAGCCAGTGAGATACAAAATGGGTTGGGGATGGGGGTAGTTGTGTTAGACACGCCATCAGATGATGTCAGAACTCTTGGCAACGCGTTGGCCCTACCAGGAGCAAGAGACAGAAAGCTCTAGGTGAGAACAGCTGGTCATCTTGAAAAACCAAAAGAGGTTTTTAATTCAGTTGTATCATTGTGATCGATGACTTCTGTTGCTGTTTGGTGTCTCATAATTGCAATCCCGTTTCACGTTTTGTGTTTTTTTCTCTCAGACTATTCCAGGAATGGAGGATGTTTGATGATGGCTATAGGTTGTCTTGTACAGAAAACTTAACATACCAGGCTTTTTTGAAAGAGTAGGAAGGGCATTTTATTACAGCCTCCAGTCTAAAGTTCCTCCTAATAAGCATTTTACAAGATATCCACTAATACTGGAATTACGTTTCTTCTTTTCTTAATTAATTCACTTATTTATTTATTTATTTTTGAGTCTGAGTCTCACTGTGTCTCCTAGGCTAGAGTGCAGTGGCGCCATCTTGGCTTGCTGCAACCTCCGCCTCCCAAGTTCAAGTGATTCTCTGGCCTCAGCATCCCGAGTAGCTGGGATTACAGGCACACGCCACCACACCTGGCTAATTTTTGTATTTTTAATAGAGATGGGGTTTCACCGTGTTGGTCAGGCTGGTCTTGAACTCCTGACCTCAGGTGATCCCCTCACCTCAGTCTCCCAAATTGCTGGAATTATAGCTGTAAGCCACCATGCCCGACCTTTTAAATTTATTTATTAACTTTTTTAGAGACTAGGTCTCACTGTGTTGATCAGGCTGGTCTTAAACTCCTGGCTCCAGTGATTGCCCTGTCTTGGCTTTCATATGTGCTGGGGTTACAGGCGTGAGTCAGCGTGCCTGGCCAGGAGCTATGTTTTTAGTCCAGAACCATTGGTAGGGCAGAGTGATTTGGCGATACTTAATTTCATTCTGAATTTTTATTTATTTATTTACTTTTTTTTTTTAATTTGAGATGGAGTCTTGCCCTGTCACCCAGTCTGGAGCATTCTGATTTTTTTTAGTAGTGGTTTTAAAATGGTTTGATAATGAAAAATTTTCAAACAGACACAAAATTAGAAATTACAGTATACTGATCCCCTCATATGCCCTGCTCCAAGTTTCAACAGCTGCCAACATGTGACCAAACTTGTTTCTCTTGCACTTCAATCTTCCTCTCTCTTCCCCATCAATATTTTGAAGCAAATCCAAAATACACTATTCTTATTAAATTTATCAGTATGTATATTAGAAAAATGAGAATTCTTTTAAAAATAACTGTATATCATTAATGTTATTATGCCTTTAAAATTAGCAAGGAGCTAGATATGGTGGCTTACACCTGTAATCACAGCACTTTCCAAGGGTGAGGTGGGCGGATCATTTGAGGTCAGGAGTTCGAGACCAGCCTGACCAACATGGTGAAACACTGTCTTTATTAAAAATACAAAAATTAGCCAGGTGTGGTGACAGGCACTTGTAATTTCAGCTACTCAGGAAGCTGAGGCAGGAGAATTGCTTGAACCCATCAGGTGGAGGTTGCAGTTAGCTGAGATTGTACCATTGCACCCCAGCCTGAGCAATAGAGTGATTCCCTCACCTCCCTCCAAAAAAAGCAGTGATTCTTTAAGTGTCCAAACATCTTATTAAATTAAAATATTTCAGTACTTAAAATTACAGGATTCTCAAAGGAAAAAAGTATCGTCATTAGCATTATTACGGCTTGAAATTTGCAATGATCTCTCAATATAACCAAGCATTCTATCCATATTCTAGTCTACGTGATGATCGTACACATTTTTAAAGTTTTCTTATTTATCAGAAGTTAAAACCTGATTGATATGTCAGAAATTAAAATTAGTGAATATGTGTCTGAAGTCTGTTTTATTATGTTTGTGCCACCTCCAACTCACTGTTTGCAATCTGCTTGTTGAGGGTACTGGGCCATTTTTATTGAAGAGTGTCTATGAGGCCTGGATTTGCTAATTGAGTTTTCTCTTCTTTGTATTTTCTGTCAACTGGTGGTTAAAGCACAAGTTTGATGAGATTTTTGTTCAGTTTTGTGTTTGGCAAAAGCATGTAATAAACGTTCTTGTGTACTTTCATTAGGAAGCACATAATGCCTTTCTTTCTTGTTGTCCTTTTTGGAGAATTTTACCAGTCACTAACAATCATGACCATCACTCCTTTTTTCATTTATTAGGTAGAATACTTCTACAGAGAAATCTTTTACTAATTCTTTGCTTACCCTGAGATATAGTTCATATGAGAAAAATAAGGTATATGCATCTTCCTTTGTTTTTGTTTTTTTCCAGTTTTCAAATTAGTTTCAGTTAGTTTGCTTGCGTATTCCAAGGATGACTAATCATCATTCTTAATGTCTATTCTGAAGCTCGATCATTGAGCAGTGGGAACCTCTCTCTGTTGTCTCCTTGTCCAGACAGAGAGCTTCCTTGCTTTGTGAGATGATAAGGTGTTCCTGGTCAATGTCTGTATTCCCACCCTGGCCCTGACTCTCTACGTATATTTTGAGATGGAGTCTCGCTCTGTCACCCAGAATGGAGTGCAGTGCCATGATCTCGGCTCACTGCAACTTCTGCCTCCTGGGTTCAAGGGAAGCTCCTACCTAAGCCTCCCAAGTAGCTGGGATTACAGGAATGTTCCACCATGCCTGGCTAGTTTTTGTATTTTTAATAGAGATGGGGTTTCACCATGTTGGCCAGGCTGGTCTCAAACTCCTGACCTCAAGTCATCCACCCAACTCAGCCTCCCAAAGTGCTGGGATTAAAGGCATAAACCACCATGTCCAGCCTCTATTATTTCTTTATAGAAGCTTTTCAGAACCAGGAGGCAGCTCAGTTAGAGAGATTTTATGTATATCTTTATTATTACCATTTTAACTCTATTCACCACCTGTCTCACCTTTTCTTAGTAAGCAGGGAGTCCCCGTAGTAAGCATGGGTCCCCACAATAGGAGAGCAGTTCTATTTTGTACTTCTGAAGTCTGTTCTTGTGCATAGATTGAGCACGTGGGTAAACTCTTGGCATTTCGAGTGACCAATATTCCTGGGCGTGGTTGCTTCAGAGATTGGCACATGATCAGGTGGACTGCTTAGAGATTTCTGTGGGACTTTGCTCTCAGACTGTATGGAGAAATTATTTGTTTCTCATGGATTATTGGTCTTTTTAGGTGAGTCTAGAGTTATGGTGGCCATCCACCTGTCAATTTATAGACACACAATCTAAGAAATTTGGAAAGGGAAAAATCTTGATCCTGTCCCTTGAGGTCCTGGATACAGTGGTGCATGAAGTTAATCTGCCTGCTTTTGAACTTTGCAAGCATGTGAGCCAATATATTTCCTTTTATCCTCTAAAGCTATTTTGTCTGTGTGCATGTGTGTGAGCATGTGTGTTTACATGTGAAATTGCCCTGTCTAATATGAAGGTTTTCTATTTTCCCAACAAGGAGGAGATTTTCAAAGATCTTTTAAAGTATTGTCAATAACAGTAGGTGGCTTAAAACACATTTCCTGAATGTCGGCTTTGTCTGAGGAATGTGTTGTGGTAGCTGTTACATAATAAAGGGAAATTAGGCTGATAGGACTTTCTGTCAATATCCTAATGTACTCAGTGTGTTAAGATATGGCTAGACATTAGAATAACACCAGGCGGAAACTTAGGGAGTTAGAAAGTGTGGAGAATGTAGGAAGGGAGATGAGGTCAAACTGTTGTTACAATTATTTTCTGCAAACTGTAAGTCGATCTTGATCATCTTCCCCTGCCCTCCCCACCCCATTGTGTTTTGTTTCCTAAAGAAAGATAATACAATCAGGTCATGCTTTACAAAGAATTGTTTTGCAGGAGCACTGCATAAAATAGGTTTAAAGAAGAATGAAAGATGCTAGACAGATCGTTTAAAAATGAGCTTCTGGGCAGGGCCTGGTGGCTCACACGTGTAATTCCAGCACTTTGGGAGGCCAAGGCAGATGGATCATGATGTCAAGAGATCGAGATCATTTTGGCCAACATCGTGACACCCTATCTTCACTGAAAATACAAAATTAGCCGGGCATGGTGGCGCACACCTGTAGTCTCAACTGCTTGGGAGGCTAAGGCAGGAGAATTGCTTGCAGTGAGATGGAGGTTGCACTGAGCCGAGATCGAGAATAAAAGGGAGTTTCTGAACCCCTGTGAAATCCTGCTCTCAGGAATCTATATTTACACACTTTAAAAGTAAAATAAAACCTGGGGTTGAAATCAGGTATTAAAATACCTCTAGGGAATAACTAAAGACTTCGAGGAAAGTTTTGTTAGCTATAAACTCAAAGGTTGATACATACAGCATCAAAGGAACATAGGAAAGTTCACTTGATGCTATAATTATTAAATACAAAGAATATAATTAAGTTCGTATGTTTTAGGAAAAAAACATGGTATGCATATCAAGCCTAATTTTATTAATAGAACTTCTTGAGATGAGACTAAAGGACAGTTCCTTGTCCAGATTCTACTCGTAAATTGCAAGTACTCACTAATGATTTTCAGAGGATTGCTTATTTGGTAAATTGGCTTTCACTGGATCAATGAAATGGTCATTAGAACAGCTATCAATAAATGTATCTGCTTCCCTTTAAAAAATACCTGTTTTCCCAGTGTTCCCTATCTGGGCAGTGGGGGAGGGTTAAATTTAAAAATGTAACACTTCATGAATTTGCTTGCCATCTTTGCACAGGTGCCTTGACAACTTTTCTGTATCATTCTGATTTCAGTGTATGTGCTGCCAGTGTGAGCACTAGAAATCAGTTTTGTGTTTAATAGAACATCTTTTTGAATCTTACGAATAAACCTATCTATTAATTAGATTAAATTAACTCAATTCGGATACCTAAGGTTGTATTGGTGTGTTATTAAACTCCTCAACATCAGGATAGAAAGGAAGACACTTTGGGATCAGGCCCTTTGCACCCCTGCTTTATTTACTCACACAGACCCCAGCTGCTCAATATTTGGCTCTGAGGAAGTCACCATAGCCTGTTTTCCGCGCAGGATTGGAGGATCAGTAACTTGGTCTACCAGCACTGCGAGAGAGAGAGAGAGAGAGAGAGAGAGAGAGAGAGAGAGAGACCATATCTTTGTCATAGACATATCCTAGCTGTGAATCTAAGATTTATTAATATAATGAATCTCTGTTTAATGGCGTTTAGAGCCGTTTTCTTGAAAAGCTCAAAACTTGTATCCCACTGTCTGGGCTTTTTTTTTTTTTTTTTTGAGACAGGGTCTTGCTCTGTCGTCCAGGCTAGAGTGCAGTGGCACAATCTCAGATCACTGCAACCTCTGCCACCCAGGTTCAAGCAGTTCCCCTGCCTCAGCCTCCTAAGTAGCTGGGACTACAGGCATTTGTCACCATGCCCAGCTAATTTTTTTACTCTTTTTAGTAGAGATGAGGTCTCACCACATTGGCCAGGATGGTCTCCATCTCCTGACCTTGTGATCCGCCCACCTTGGCTTCCCGGAGTGCTGGGATTAGAGGCTTGATCCACCATGCCCAGCCACATCATTTCTACATAGGGAAAATATACAAAAGCCAGGTTATAACCAGAAAGACGTATGGCAAGCTGGTATTGAAGAAAGGAGAAGTAGCTGTGAGAGACCAAGGATTGGCTGCACCAGATTAAAATAACCTAATCCACGTGTCTCTACAAGCACTGGGCCAGTTGTTGGAACCTGTTGGGACAGAACAGGCTGAATCCTTGAACAAACAGGCTAGGCGCAGTGGCTCACGCCTGTAATTCCAGCAGTGTGAGGCCAATGTGGGTGGATCACTTGAGGTCAGGAGTTTGAGACCAGCCTGGCCAACATGGTGAAACTCCATCTCTACTAAAAATACAGAAAGTGAGCAGGACATGGTGATGGGTACCTGTAATCCTACCTCCTTGGGAGGCTGAGGCAGGAGCACTGCTTGAACCCAGGAGGCAGAGGTTGCAGGCAGCTGAGATTGTGTCATTGCACTCTAGCTTGGGTGACGAGTAAGATTCTGTCTCAAAACAAAACAAAACAAACACATATCCTCACAGGACATACAGTAGGAAAAGATGAGTGCTAATGGCCTTCCCCTGACCTTTCAAGAGAATCTAAAGATCCCTTGCTTGCATTCCAGTCATCTTCCTCCCTTTGCATGAGACTGTGTTCTTGCTTGCTTATGGGGAGGAAGACTAAGTTGCCCCATGGAATAGAGGGCTGGCAAGGAAACATCCCAATACCGTTAGTATTTCTTGTTGAAGGACAAAATGAGAAAAGTTTCTGGGTGATGCCTAGAAAGGTGATTGACAGGAACAGGGAAAAGGAACCCAGGAATGACAAGTAAATCAGAAAGTTGGCACTATGGTAAGCGTTTTATATTTTTTTTATCTCGAGAAATAGAAAAGCAGCCCCTGGAAGATCCTATCAGCGATGACTTGGTGTCGGTCAGAGCCAGCCTGACACTCACAGATAGACTTTGATGTTATCCTGTTGAACACAAACAATTTCATAGAATGTCAGCATCAGACAAGGTTATCTCAGGATTGCGGTGGGTCAGGAAAAGACAAGACCACTAGGTGATCATGTCTAAACTCAGTCAGAAACATGGACCTTTCCCTAAATCACAGAATGAGCAGGTCATCTTCCTCTTCTGGTTCATGTGAGTGACGGCTGCTTCCTAACCAACTACAGCTCTCCCTTGACTAAAGTCTTCCCTACTTCTGGGTAAGAGTTAGGAAGATAACCAGCGATATAATAGTTCCACTTTCTGACAGCATCCAATTCAGAGAAAAGCCTCACTTCTTTGAACCGTACTGAGGAATACGTAACACAAAGACAAATCCTTTAAGAAGTTGTCCCTGACAACTTATTTATTGAGGTAGTCTGTGGTTCCCCAGAGTATATGTTCTCCCTTGCAACAGGTAGTAAACCCTACTCTGTTCAAATACAGGTGTGCTTTTAAGCATCTTTGGCTAGAGAGCATGAGTAATGCCATTAAAAAAAAATTTTTTTTTAGAGCCAGGGTCTCTGTTGATGAGGCTGGAGTGCATTGTTGTGATCATAGCTCACTGCAGCCTAGAACTCCTGGGCTCAAGCAATCCTCCCACCTCAGCCTCCTAAGTAGGTAGGACTACATTTGGGAACCACCACACATGGCTAGGTTTCAGGTTTTGTAGAGACAAGGTCTCCCTCTCATGCTCATGCTGGTCTTGAACTCCTGGACTCCAGTGATCTTCCTTCCTTGGCCCCCCAAAGTGCTGAGACTACAGGCATGAGCCACTGTGCCTGGCCATTAATTTCATTAAAAAAATAAAGCCTGTGTATAAGAGAACACTTAGCGAAGTTAAGTCATTTAGCCAAGGACACTCAACTCCCAAGCAGTGGAACTACACTTTGAACCCTGGCATTTCATGTCACCTTCCCTTATGGACCCACTATCTTGTCTTTTCCATGTTTTCATAGTCTTAGTTTTCTACCGCTGCCAGAACTACAACACGTTTGGCAGCTCCAGATAACAAATACCTGTGATCTCATGGTTTTGTAGTTGAGGGGAGGAAGACTAAGTTGACCCACAGAATAAAGGGATGGCAAGGAAACATTCCAACACAGTTCGTATTTCTTGTTGAAGGACAAAAAGAGAAAAGTTTCTGGGTTATGTCTAGAAAGGTAATTGACAGGAAATGGGGAGTCTAGTTGGCTCAACTGGTTTCTACACTGTGGGTTTTTCTTTGGCTGTTTGCAGTCTGATCAGGAGGGTCTGAGAAGAGTCCATTTCTAAAGTCCTTCAGGTTGTCAGCAGAATCTCTTTCCTTGCAGCTGTAAAGCTGAGGTCTCCATTTCCTTGCTGGCTGCCAGCACAGGGCCTTCTCTTAGCTCCTGGGGGTCTTTTACATCCTTTCATGACACGTGGATTTATCCTTCTCATAGTCAACAGCAGTACAAGTGCTTCTCACCCTTGAAATCTCGTTGACTTCTTTTCCCACATCTTGATCGCAACTGGAGAAAATCTTGTGTTTTTAAGGGCTTTTGTGATTTGATGGGATTCTCCCCAATAATCCAGAACCATCTCCCAATTTTTTTTTGAGGTGGAGTCTCTCTCTGTCACCCAGGCTGGAATGCAGTGGCGTGATCTCAGCTCACTGTAGCCTCTGTCCCCCGGGTTCAAGCGATTCTCCTGCCTCAGCCTCCCTAGTAGCTGGGATTACAGGTGCCTGCCACAGCACCCAGCTAATTTTTGTATTTTTTGTAGAGGCAGGATTTCACCAAGTTGGCCAGGCTGGTCTTAAACTCCTGACCTCGTGATCTACCCACTTTGGCCTCCCAAAGTGCAGCGATTAAAGGCATGAGTCACCGTACCTAGCCCATCTCCCTGTTTTTAGGTGCATACCTTTGTTAACATCTACAAAATTCTATTTGTCATGTCACGCATCACATTGGCGGGTGCTGGGGATTAGGACATGGCTATCTCGGGAAAGGAGGTCATAATTTTGCCTACTGCACATAGTTGCACAACTGCCCATTCTCCAGCCATCTTTGACTATTTAAATCATTCTTTCAATATAAGATGTTTCTTTCAATATAATACATTTCTACTCTTTCTTGTTTGGAAGCTCTTCTCTTTAACACGACTTTGAATATACTTTTGTCGCTAACTTCTTAACCAATCAGGGTAAACTCCCATCAAAATGATCTCATTTCACTACATGCATGTCTTTAGAAACTGTGAGGATGAGGTGAGGCTGCTGTCAGTGAAGGCTGCACGCTCCTGTGCGTTTCTGTAGCCAACCCAGTCGACACCTTAGCATTAGGAAATATCAGCATGGGCGTGCAAAAGTCTATATGTGATCTTCTCAGGCTTGCTAGCCAGGGCCTCCTAATATAACTTGTGCCCTGAGAAATACATGAAATGGCAACAGATTTCAGAAATGGTAGCAAACAAACAAACAAAAAAACAGTAAAATGCTGGGCATAGTGTCCCTTACCCACCTTAGCATTATGTACATTCAATTAAGAGCAAACTTGGATCCAGTTTTCAGTCCTGCCTACACATGTTGCCCTATCTTGTTTCATGTGCAAGTTCTCACTGAAAAAAATAGGTATCCACAACATAATGGAAATAGCTGTTACCAAAGAAAACGCAACAGGATGATATTTTTGGTGAATTGGCTTTAATGAGTCTTGAATGAACAGCATGAAGTTTTAGAAAGTAAACTTTAGGCTAGGTGCGGTGGCACATGCCTGTGATCCCAGCACTTTGGGAGGCTGAGGCCAATGCATGACAAGATCAAGAGTTTGAGACCAGTCTGGCCAATGTGGTGAGACTGTGTCTGTATTTAAAATGCAAAAAGTAGAGGGACATGGTGACGTACCTGTAATCTCAGATATTCAAGAGGCTGAGGCAGCAGAATTCCTTGAACCCAGGAGGCAAAGGTTGCAGAGAGCTGAGATCACATCTCTGCACTCCAGTCTGGGCGACAGAGCAAGACTTTGTCTCAGAAAAGAAAAAACAAGTAAGTAAAATTTAGTAAACAAGAGTAATAACTCAAAAGATTGAAGGTTGACGACTATGCCAATGAATTCCCTCCTTCCTTTCCCCCTCCTTTCTCCCTCCCTTCTTTCCTCCCTCCCTCCCTCCTTTTCTCTCTCCCTTCCTTCTTTTTTCTCTCTTTTTCTTTCTCTCTCCTTTCTTTCTTTCTCTCCTCTTCCTTCCTCTTCTCTTTCCTTCTCTGTTTCACTAATTCTTTTTCTTTCTTCTTTCTCTCTTTGTACATGT